GAGGGGTGGTGAGAAGAAGGGAGGAGGAATAGAATTGGGCTTCCCACTGGGGATAGCCTTAAAAGGGTGGACACTGGGGATCCGCACCCTATCACCTAATATAGAGCATAGCACTTATATATGAGGTGCCTTTCCATAGCCAATCCAGACACAAAATACCATCTATGAAGCTCTATGAAACTCCAACACAAACCCAAACAGCAACCCGGGGCAAATACCTTCTATGATGACATCACCTTGAACACACATTAAAATATCGCACCATATTAATCATGGATAAATGCTGCACGAAACATAAAATTAGCTCACCTAATACATATACGCCTTCCAGTAAATTCCTAAAAAGTGAGATTTTTCTGCCTGATTGCTTACTTTTCTCCCATTGATATCAAAGAACATGGTATCCTTATTACCATGTCCTACACACATTATAAATACACAATAGGAAAAGAGTTTGTGTGAATATGCACCATCTAAATTCCAAAGGCGGGCATTTAATACACAATTCAAGGAGACTGCCAATAACATTATCTTGATCATCACCAGCATCCTAATCCTGGTGGCCAACATCCACTGGACGCTTTCCAGAGGCCCAGTGCTGTGTTAGTTGGTTTGCATGCACTGTTGTCACTCAGTTGGTAACTGTTAGTCTCACAGTGCCAGCAGGTAAGTTCCCAAAACCTCAAAGAATTTTTTATTTTGAAACATATGTACTCTGGTTGCCATGCAGATTGAATATGTGTTTAAAAAAAATTCTAAAATACTGAGTGAGTATAGGGGGCCATCAGGCTTGAGAATGCTGAGGTTGGTTTGTTTATATTCTGGGAAATGGTGTTCCAATACATTCTGTCTAGATTTCTTTTTTTTTTAGTGAAGGTGAGTGGGAAAGACTGCTGCCTGCCGAAATCTTTCCGGAGAGAGCCCAGGATGAATCTTGCCTTTATTTCTATGGCTAAGAGAACACTGGTTCTGAATTGAGTCTTCTCTGGGCAGTGGGCTGACAGTGCTGGGATAATCTGGATGCAGCATTAAATAAAGCAATCAAAAAGAAAATTCCTCTGAAACGCTCACTGGTATTTAATATTTTATTCACTCCCATGTTATTGTGCCTTGCCTGCGGTAAAACAGCCTCCTAGGAGTGAGACATTAGGAGTCTGACAAGCATTTTCCCATGAATTGCTACTACAATACAAAGGCATTTTGTTTGCTGTTTTGTTTCCTTGTCTTCTAACATTCTTTCTGACTTTCAAGGAAAAAAAGAGGAAGAAGAAAAAGAAACCCTCCAATGAATGGCAAAGAAAAGGAAAGAAAAGTTTCTTTTAAACTTTCAACCTTTTTCATTTGGTACTGGGTAGCATGTAAACATTTTTTTCTCATGGTATATATGCTGGTAGTCTCTTTCCTTTTTTTGTGCTTTAAATGGCTTTTTTTCTTCTTTTACCACATAGCATTGCCTTTCCATTATTGATTCAGAAAATCGGCAGAGAAAAAAATCAACCGTGTACACATATTAAGAAAGGGAAGTCAGAGGAAGATGGATCAAACCATCCATCTATCCATGTGGCCATTTATCTATCAATCCATCTCGCAACCCACCCGCCTCTATTAAAATAAATAGCAGGCACTGTACACACTGCTGGTTGGCTGAAGTTGTGATCTGGACAAAAGGTCTGTTTGGGAAAAGGATGCTGATCCTCTAATTCTATTTGTGCCGGTTGAAAATCAGGAGGGGTTTTTCTACACTTCACTTTTATTAGATTATTTCTTATAGATGGTTTCTTTTTTCCTCCCAGACGCGTGGTGGAGGCTGCTGAAGCAGTTGGTCTATAGTTGGAATAATTAAATTAACCATTTGGTACAACTTTTGGGGGAGAGCTCGCGTGTAGAAAGCACAACTGGAACAAAACAGGGCGCTGGGGCTGGGGCTGGGGCTGGGGCTCTGACTTGGCGCAGCCCCGCATGCCTTTCATCTCAGAGCAGAAGCAGGACCCCAGGCCACAAAAGACGGGCAGAGGAACGACCGGCCAGGGATAGGGGGAGGGACGGTGACACTGAACAAAATAAACCTACAAGGCCTACAAAGGGGAAAATGAAGTCCAGAGCATTTGCTTATTCGACCGTGCGGTCCGGGCGCTGAAAGGTCTGTTCTACAAAGGCGACGAGGCTCTGTGCACCCCTGTCGGGCGGGCTAGGCTGGCACCAGGGGGCGCCTGGACAGAGGCCGGGAGAGTCCCAGTCTCCGCACCCTGGAGCCGGCTGGCGCGACGAGGTGGTGGCGGCGGGAGCCAAGGCCGCCCGGAGCCCGAGACCACAGGGCGGCGAGGACGGAGCCCTGGCCGGCGCCCAGTCCTGGCTTCCGCTGGGCCTGTCCCTCGCCCACCCTTCTGGGCACTCTCCGCAGCGTGGCACGTCCCTGATCTGGGTCCCTTGGCAAAGTCCTCACGCCGATCCCTGGGCTTCTCCTGTGCCACCTAGCAAGCTTGGTCAACCCAGCTTCTCTGGGCTGCACAGCAAAGCCCTCACCCCGTGTACAGTCTAAATTCCACTTTCACCCGAGTCATCTAAAACTGCCACCTTGAACACCGCTTCCTCGGTTCTCTGCACACTCTAGGTCCTCCAAAGGCAATTGGGAACCCGACATGGAATTGCCATGCACTCGGATGCGGCGCAGAGCACCGGGTCTGAATGGAGCGTCCTCCCGGGAACATGCGCTCTGCACCCCGCGTAGACACATCCGCGAGGCGTGGGGGGCACAGTGAGCCCAGCGGGACGCGAACCTTGTTCTCAGGACAGGCCTCGGAGCCGCGGAAGCGCACCTCCTCCCAGCCAGACCCAGTCATTCTGTCCTGTAGAGACATGCGTTCAAATCCCACCTGCGCGGTGGAGGAGCGGGCGAAGGAATGTTTCCCTATGTCCCGCGCGTCCGCTTCCGTATCCCCAGAGTGCGAGTCCCTTTGGGAAAACCCAGGAAGTACCCTCCCCCTTCTAAGTCACCCCCACCCAATCCGAGGGAACCGAGAAACTTGGACAATCACAGTCTTGTGCTTGACAACCTGTCCTCCATTCCCTCATGTGGATGGTGGTGGGAGAATAAGGATGGGAGAAATTCCATGTGCGGAGTCCAAAGGGGGTCCAGGCGCCTCCTGTTCCAAATGCAGATTCATATTCATGAGAGCGGGATAAATAAAGACAAATCCCCGCTGTAATAACACTTGGATTCACATCCGTCTTTGCTGGCCTTTAGGTTTAGGGGACTGAAGACAGATGTTTACGTCCCTTTTCTCCTCTTGTCTGGTGACCATAAAGAAAAACCATTTAGAGTGTTGCAATTTGTTTCCGGCGCAGTAAAACCTTGTACACATTTATTTTCATTTCACCCTTGTGCACAAAAAAAGTGCACACTGGTCACCAAGGACCCTTCTTTATCAAATACGCATTGTACAACATACAACTGCAATAAAACTATCAGCTCTCCCCATAAAACTATCACCAGGTTTCTCGGTAGGCTCCCGACTTCAGCGCTTTTCCCAGGTCCTGAGGATGCTCAAACACCTGAGACGCAGCAGAAAGTCACCCCGCAGAGCAGCGCAGGGCTGGGGGGCCGCTGTCTCTGCTTAATCCATTACCGTGTCCACAGCAGTTTAGTGCGCAATAAAACAGGGTGACAGTGGAGAGCGGGCGCCCATCCACTCTCCGGCACTAGCATCGAATTAAACCACTTAGTTTGGCAAACACTGAACGCCTAAATGCCCCTATAAAGACTTTATGAGTTTGTTACTTTAATTACTGACTTGTTACAGAGCACATAAAGGGGGTAATGAATGCAATAAAACTAATTATCTACACATTTAATTCATATAAAATATCCAGGGTTTGTTTACACCACACGGCGATTCAGCTAAGCATTCCCCCTCTTGTCCACCGAGAGGAAGGATTTAATGAAATAGTTTCCCTTATTCTGCTAGAGTCTAACGAACCAAATGAAAATTACCCTCCGCTTAAATCATGGGGCCACCGAGGTCCACAAATCACCGCTCACTTCTTTGTCTGCACTTCGCTGCCAGCTCCCACCCAAGAGCCTAAGGAATTGGACAGGGAAGGTGCCCGGCCTGGAGCCTTTGCCTGGGCACTTAAATGGCAAGGGATTCGCTCAGCGCAGTCCACAAACCTAAAGGGCAAACAGACAGCAATCCTCTTTGGGAAGCCCGGGTCTGGGTGCCTGAAAAAAATTACAGGCGAAAAAGAGGGGGCGAGCGGGAGAGGATGAAGAGGAGATACCTTTGGGTCTCCTTCATGCCCTCTCGGTAGTTATCGCGTAATTAAAATGAACCGTATGGAACCCCCAAACCAACCAAAGGCAAACCTGCGCTAAAGCAGAGAGACACAGCGCTGAGCCCAAAGAACTCATCGGCTGCGAAACCAGATGTTTTACATTCAAGAGCTTTCCTTGAATGTGTAATTTCTTTTATTTTACTTTTAAGGGGCTGTATGCCCGAATCTCTTGAAAGCACATGAAGCAGCAAGGAGAAATGCAATTGATAAGACGTTCTCTATTTTTGCGCCCCCTCTACCAGGTGTATTTTAAAGAAATCCGCTTATCGTTCATATAAACCCCCTTGGCCCACTTACTCTATGTTACAGGGCGCCTGAGTCTTGCCAATGTCCCAGTCCTTTATAACATTTCATGCACTTCGGGGGGTAGACTTGTTGTTAAATTGAGCGTGTAACACTCTTACAAAACAGGTTTTCTATGACATCAAGGTTTCTTCTTCCTAACCAAGAAAAAAAAAAAAAAAAGGACGAAGAAGGGGGAAACACACACACTATCTCAATTTATGCCTAAGGTATATGATCAGTTAAAAAGGCTTAAAAGCTCAGGGAAATTGGATCAGGGAGAATCGTCACCCAACTTTCATTATTTCCAAGTAGTGTGATTGAATTAAAGGGCAGGGAGCTGGTTAGAAGGGAGGATCAGGGGCTCGGTGCGTAATGGTGTGGTATTAAATTCTAATTAGAGATGCAGGAATCAATGATAGGGAGGTTGGACAGCTCAGTTCCCCAGTGCCAGCCCAATAGACGGATGAGTTATTGTCATGTAAAAAGCGCCAGCAATAAGACCAACCGCTTTGCTATTGTCCAAGTGGAAAGAGCCAAGTTTATTATGAGGACTATATGCTCTAGAGACCTCAGACAAGGCATCTCATAGGAGGCTTTTTCATAAAACTAGGCTCTGCTGGTAGTAAGGAGGCCAGTTTGGAGGCAGGCGTTGAGCTGTGCACATCTCCCCACTCCAGCCACCTTCTCCATATCCATCTTTTATTTCATTTTTCCACTTGGCTGAGCCATCCAGAACCTTTTCAATGTATAAAATGGAATATTCTTACCTCAATTCCTCTGCCTACGAGTCCTGTATGGCTGGGATGGACACCTCGAGCCTGGCTTCAGCCTATGCTGACTTCAGTTCCTGCAGCCAGGCCAGTGGCTTCCAGTATAACCCGATAAGGACCACTTTTGGGGCCACGTCCGGCTGCCCGTCCCTCACGCCGGGATCCTGCAGCCTCGGTACCCTCAGGGACCACCAGAGCAGTCCGTACGCCGCAGGTAAGGACCGCCAGCTCTCTCAGCGGAGGAAGCCGCCTTTCCGCTCGTATATAGGAAGCCTTGATTGCATTTGAAAATGGAAATGTGTTTAGTATTTACCAAACGAAATTTGCTTACACAAATGAAAGAATTTATCACGTTAGAAGCGATTGCAGGGAGGGGTAATTCACTTACAGGGTTACACTATCCTAGTCACACCCGAACCGCCAACAAAATTATCTTAAGCTGCCAAAATGATAGGCATAATTTATTTACTTTGCGATGAGACGTAAAGCTTAGAAAATAATTAAATAACAAAGAGTAAAGCTCATTACTGGCAGTGTCTCTTTTTTTAAGAACCGACAGCGGCTCACACCTCTTTGGCTGGTCATTTTTATTATCATTTCTTTCCTTTATTATTATTGGGTTTTTTGCAGCACTTTCTCCCAAATTTTGGGTCTCGGCTACTTCTGAGCATTGAAAAGTTGCAACAGTGAGAGTGTTTGGTAACTTCTTCCCTGGCTCTTTGATATTCCGATTGATGGTTTTGGACCCTTTTCCTGCTGAATGCGCTATAACAGGTTCTGGGCCTCACATTGACTACCATGCGCTCTTCCGACCCATCCAAAGGCACTTGTGCCAGAAGGACCCCGCCAAAGCCCAAAGTTTGCGCTCCCTGTTTCCGTCTATAACTAATCTGCTCTGTTTTCTCGGCAGTTCCCTAGATCGCCGGGTAGTAGTTCCCGGGTGACCTGACTTTGGTCCCCACATTCCGGCTCTGCGGCCCGCGCGCTCCTGACTGTTGTGCTCACTCTTTCCCCTCTGTCATCCTCTAGTTCCTTACAAACTCTTCACGGACCACGGCGGCCTCAACGAGAAACGCAAGCAGCGGCGCATCCGCACCACTTTCACAAGTGCGCAGCTCAAAGAGCTGGAGAGGGTCTTCGCCGAGACACACTACCCCGACATCTACACCCGGGAAGAGCTAGCTCTGAAGATCGACCTCACCGAGGCGCGAGTCCAGGTACCAGCGCCTGGAGCCTGGCCCTGACCCTGCTCCGCTGCTTCGTTTCGGGAGGGGTGGGGACGAGGGTTGGGTGGTGCTACTGAAAGTTTGAAATCCCGGGTCCTTGCAGAAAAAGGGGCCAGGGACCCAGGGTCCGTCAGAGAGGTCAGCTGTGGGCTGTGCGCGTGGAAAGGTTAGGGCGCGCGTCCTGGCAATTTGTTCTCAGCTGCAGAGTGTTTCCTTTCCGAGCAGAGGCATTCAGGCGTCTCGGGACATGAATGAGCTAGATTTCGGGGACAGGAAGTACCCTATGGGAGGAGGAATACAGACTTGCCTCTCCTTATATGCTGTGTTGGCCCCCCAACCCAAGCGCTTTTAACCTGGCTCTAAGGCTTATAGGTGCTTTTTCCTGGGAACTATAACGTGTGTCAGATTTGCAAGGAGGCTATTGATCCACGAGGGTCATGAACCTCAGTTTACTCTAACCTGTTAGGAACAAAGGTGGGCTCAGGCGCAGGCCGCGGCAACTCTAGGGGTGACCGCCAGCGGAAGAACGTTGTGCATCCCATGCTCCTTCTGGCAAAGGCCTGAATTGAGCTGCCTGCACCAAATCTGGAGACCCCCTCCTTCTACCATTTAGAGTTCAACTTTAGACCCGAGGCCTAGGCGTAGATGGCGAGCACCGGGTAGTTCAAGAAGCAGACTTAACAAAAAGGCACATCAAAACAAGGGCCTCCGTTTTGGAACCTTCCTGGGATCTGTGGTCTTTTTACCTCTCCTGCAAGTTGCCATTTCCCAGGCATGCTCACGCCCTAAGAAAGTTTCTCCGAAGATGCCCTAGCACAGAGGAGGGGTGTAGACTTGGGGGGAGGGTGCTCACTTTGGTGTTGAGTGTGCAGGTGGCTGTTTCTGTTCGCGCGCGTGAAAGTGAAAACAATCTGAAATTGATTCAGGCCACCCTGACCGCTGTTTTTCTCTGCTGTTTTCTTCTCTCCCTCTGCTTCGTCACCTCTCCTCTCTTGGGCCAGGTGTGGTTCCAGAACCGCCGCGCCAAGTTCCGCAAACAGGAGCGCGCAGCAGCGGCCGCAGCCGCCGCGGCCAAGAACGGTTCGTCGGGCAAGAAGTCTGACTCGTCCCGGGACGACGAGAGCAAAGAGGCCAAGAGCACCGACCCGGACAGCACTGGGGGCCCGGGCCCCAACCCCAACCCCACCCCCAGCTGCGGGGCGAGCGGCGGCGGCGGCGGCGGGCCCAGCCCGGCAGGAGCTCCGGGGGCTGCGGGACCCGGGGGCCCGGGAGGCGAACCCGGCAAGGGAGGCGCGGCGGCGGCGGCGGCGGCGGCGGCGGCTGCGGCGGCGGCGGCGGCAGCGGCGGCGGCCGGGGGCCTGGCTGCGGCTGGGGGTCCTGGACAAGGCTGGGCTCCTGGCCCCGGCCCCATCACATCCATCCCGGATTCGCTCGGGGGCCCCTTCGCCAGCGTCCTGTCCTCGCTCCAAAGACCCAACGGTGCCAAAGCCGCCTTAGTGAAGAGCAGTATGTTCTGATCGGGGACCCGCGGCGGTGGCGGCGGCGGCGGTGGCGGGCGAGCCAGGGCAGGGCGGGCGAGTGGGCGAGTGGGTTAGGCCCAAGGCTATTATTGTCGCTGCTGCCGTGGCTTTTTCATCGAGGGCCTCAAAGAATCGCGATAGGAATACCGAGAAAATGACGTCGCCCCCATTCCAGCCCCACTCCTACCCCTTTCCTCAACCCCCAAACAAAGCAAAAGAAAAACACTTCCCTGGCTTCGCACCTGCTCTTGGCCACGCGGAGGCCGGGGCTCCGCCTGCTGACTGGCTGCGGGCAGCGTGGCCTGGACTCGGGGCCACTCTCAGGGGGCTGTGTCTGCGTATCGGGTGTGTGTCGGTCTGTCTCGGGGAATGTGTGTCTGTGGCCCGAGCAGGTGACAGGGAAAGATGGTAGGGCCACAACCAACTCAGTGACTTGCTTACTAAAAAAAAACCCACAAAAACTTAAAACTTCGGAAGGCCAACAACCATTAAAAAGAAAGGTTTAAAAGATCCAAGAAAATAAAATGACAAAGGAAAGGGGGGGACAAGGGAAGAGGCCGCAGCTGGCGCTAGCTGATGGCTTGATCTTGTGAGCCCCTAAATTTGCGCGCTCATGACAGCACGGACTTTTGGGGGGCTCTCCTTCTGGAGAGAATAGAGACGCCTTTCCAGCCCCACCGGTTCCCCCGGTGTCCTTGGGTTCAGGCCACTGCAGCGACGACTCGCTCAGACTGTCCCTGCGGCCAAAGTGACTTTCTTGCGCCCGCTTGCCTGTCCCCCATCTTGCCGGACACCAACCCGCCATTAGCGCATCTGAATCCCATATGGTCGCTACTCTCAGCCCCGAATCTTTGCAGCCTCTTGGCCCTGAAAGACGCCCTATACATGAGATGCCTTTTCATCCACAAACTCTGCAAACTGTGTCTCACATTTCACAACTCTCCTTGTTTTCTCTCCCACCACCCCCACCGGCATTTTCTTCTTCCACCAGCTTTCACTGAACTTTTTGGCACTGTTTCGGATTGGAGTCAATTGCAGTCCACGTGGCTGGCTGCAGAGAAACCTACCCAGCAAGGGAAAGGCACACATGTTTGCAGAAGTGCCTGGGTTTGCATTTCTGTTTGAATGATCCGCACTGGACTCACATCCTGTAGGGTGGATGGACTGTATATTGATGATTCCATTCTTTGCGCAGTTTAGACATCTCTGTTGGGATTTGTTTTTTGGTTTTGTTTTGTTTTGTTTTTATTTTAAAAGGCACAAACTATAGATATTAGTTGAATGTTGAGGCTTTAACTTTTTTGGTGTCTTTCTACAACCGTGTTCTGTGACTCAATTGTATCGTGTTAATATCAGTACAGACCGTCTCCTCTACGTGACTGTATGTTTTTCTCTTCTTGTAGTCTTTATGGCGTGTCTTTATGGCGTAATAAGGTTCTCACGGGTTCAATTCCTTTGTGTTTAGAGAGACCACAGTTCAGACAATGGTATATATTTTTGTTATCAGGTGCATGTCTGTCTGATTTCTTTCTTTCTTCTCGTTGGACTATGTTTGTGAACATAATCGTCCTAAGTTATGTTTCAGATTTTTGAATTTATTTATACGTGTTATAATGAATGCTTCTATTTAAAAGGGAAATATTTCTACATGTGCATATAGTTTTCCAAGAGTGTACCATTAACTTGATTGTTGATAATAAAAACAAAAAGCAAGTCTAAGCAATTGAACTCTTCTTTTTCTTGATTTTTGTTTTAAATTTAATTTTAAGATGTTAAGGGAGGACATAGTAAGAAGACTGTGCTGGCTCTGTTAATCTAGGTGAGTTAATGTCTAAACTCAAGCATTCAAATTGAACCAAATATAAAATTTTAGTGGTTGAGATAACATTCTGGGTTCTTCTGTTCTGTATATATATATTTTTTCCTAGTAACCAGGAGCAAAAGAGCACCAGACACTGGTAAAAGTGTTCATGTGGTGCAGGTGTTGCCAGGTGTGGACAAGATTTGCCACCACCCTCCACCATGGCATCCTGCAGGTCTGTCATGGGTCCAGCCTCCTTAAACCCGGCAGAATGCTGCCATGCAGGGGTCTGTGAGGGGGGTTCTGTACATGGGCAGGTGAATCAGCAGCTCCGCACCACTGGTGTGTTCAGACAAATAACATCAACAACTGCCTTGCAACAGGTTGTGTTTTTTTGTGTTATTTCATCTACCTTACCATATGAGACCGTGAAACAGTGCAATGTCTCTCTCAATTAATGTTCTTTTAAGTAGGTGAGGAGCACAGGGGCCACCGGTGGGAAGATTAACCTGCTCTGGAGCCCCCTGTTCACCAGTGAAGGACCAGCCTTGAACTCAGGGGATCTCACTCCAGAATGTACCCATGGTTCCCCTAGTGTGGTTCCTGGACCGGCAGCAGTAGCATCACCTGAGGATTTGTCAGATTCAAATTCCTAGAACCCACCCCAGATACACTGAACATAAAACTCTGGGGTTGGGGCCCAGCAAGGTGTGTTTTAACAAGAGGACACAAGACCCACCCAACTACACTATAAGAAACTCAGAGGGAAAGTTCCAGAATAGGCACTAGGTTGGGAACAGGTATATATGTGGGGGGCAGGGTTAGGTAGCTGCAATGATCCCTTTTTGGAATAAAAGCATTTCCCCCACAGTCCCAAGACACTATCTTACCTCTGCCTTGGACTGTTTGACTGGGCCCCTCTGAGCAGAAGCCTTGTGTGGGGTTCTCACACTCTCTTAGTACCTCTCTGGTTGGACCTTTTCAATCAACACTTCAGTCTCCTAATTTGGGCCATAGTCTGCTTCCTCTTGTCTGAATATTACTAACTAATCTGGTTTGAATCAGAGCTTCTCACCTAAAGCATCTAAACATGGCTTGCATTTGATCAGGTGAATTCATTCAGAAATTTCAAACTTTGAGTTATATCAAGCTTCTGAGCGTCTTTTCAAAAGGCTTTTAAATAGTCATTAACAAATTCCATCTCAAAATCCCCCGTGGTGAATGCTTCAAGATGACATTGCCCAGAAACAATGCCATTAATTGTATTGGTCTAAAATGCCAGCTATCACCAGATCCCTTTGGCCCAGTCTGTGCTTGTAAATACAACTTAGAAGGTCAGGGAGAGGCAAAGAGAAGGGCAGAAATTTATTAACAAAAAGAGCATTGAAAGCCCAGGTAAAGCAGCCCTGGTCTCAGCTCAAGGGAAATTGCCTTCCCCTAGCAAGTTTCTGTGAGCTAAAGGGCAGGATGGTGAGAAAGGCATTCTGGAGAAGGCAAGACCAGAAGAGAGAAAGAAAACAAGAAGTGGAGGGAAGGAAGAAAAAAAAGGAGGAGGAGGAGGAAGAGGAGGAGAAAGAGAAGATGGTAACCTCAATGAAGGCCCTGGAAATCTCTTCAGCTGTGAATAAATGGATGAGTATCCCCAAATTCCCTTCTCCTGGCTTTGAGCTACTTTGAGTGTCTGGTCTCCATGACATGGAAACTCTGGGGGTTGGTGAAGAAACCACGCTCCCTGCATGCTTCTCCCTGAATCCATTTTCTAGAAGATTGCACAGTTAATGCTCAAGGCTCCTAGCTTGACTATTTTAACTATAATCGTCTTTTCAATTTGGGGTCACCTTTGCTTCTCTTCCTAATCAGAGGGGCAAAATGTTAGGAAGCAAGCTTATGATCAAATGCAAAATACTGTCCCTGTAATATGATGGAACCTAGTGGCAGGACACTGTGTCTCGAATTGTGTCATTTCCTTGGAGTCCTGCACAGTGTGAACAAGCTCACTTTCACTTTTCCTCTCCTAAGGAATTTGCATTTTGGCTCATCAAGGCATCCTTTTTCCTGGCAACTCTGAGACCACATGTGACTTCACAAAAGCTGCATGAACCCCTGCCAGATGGCCACCCTGAAGCCAAGTCTCCTTAAAGTGGCCCAGCGCAGAGAACTGGAGTGGTTTTAGAGGAAAGCTGATAACCCAACAAATAGCTGCTCTTAACTCACTCCAGTTGCTTCTCTGGAACCATCCCATGTCCTTAGGAAGACAGTCTATAGTTAGATGGAGATGACACCCAACTCAGGGACAAGATCTGTGTGACCTTGGATGGCAAAAACCTTAATCCCTCTGTGCTTGATAATCAACGATAAATATGAATAACAATAATATAGGCTGTGGGTTGGTCGGAAGGATTAAGAAAACATTACAAAATAAATATCTGACGTACAGTTTCCAGTGTGTCAGATATGATGATGATGGTGGTGGTGGTGAAGATTCCTTTCATGAGTTTTCTAGCTCAGGCCTCTGAAACTTACATACATCTGAAACATAGAGTATGAGTGAATATGTGAAGGTTAGGACTGGAAAACTTTGCTGAGTGTGGACTGAGTAATAGACTGGAATTAGCCAAGGCTTGCGAGTAATACCTATTTATTGGGTTCTCACTATGTGCCAGACACTGTTTTAAGCTTCCAAGCTTTAATGCATTTAGTCTTCATGACTAAATGGGGAAAATATTATTCTTATTTTGTTTTCCTATGAGGAAACAAGGCATTGAGGGGTGAAGTGACATGCCAGGGTTGTAACCCAGTGACATTGCAGCAGGAATTCATCTCAGCCAGTTTGTCTCCAGGTCCATGTTCTTTCACCACTGTTCTTTACAGTCTTCACAAGAAAGAATTCATTTTGGCCCCCAAGATTATACACTCTCAGGCCCAGGAGAAGAAGGAGAAGGAGGAGCAGAGGTGGGATGAGAACTCAACAATGTTCAAACCTGAAAGGGTACAGGCTGTACAGATCCTGGAGGAGGGAGAATGTTTTCTGCAAGGCAACAGACCTACAACTCACAGTCTCTTTCTGGTAAGTGAACAAGACAAGGGGTAGTCAGAGGCGTGGAACATGAAAGGGAAGAACAGTTACATTTCTCAAGTGCAGAACATGGGTTGGTTGACAGAAATGCATGTCCGGAACGGATGTCAGCCTCTTGGCTCATTTATCACTACCATGACAGATGCACGGTCCAAATGACAAATGTCCACCTGAATCTTTCATTTTCCAGCTTTGATTCCAGGTTGCCTATTCACAAATCTAAGTGGATCTGTAATTACGGGACAGCCTCACCCAACAGTGTTTCCATGTAGGAAAGCAAAGCAACCTGAGGCTTCCTTAGGCAGATGGTCAAGGTTATCTGAAGTCATGTCCCATCACTATGGGATACATTCTGGATCCTGTTAGTCTTGGCTTACTTTAGGGGTTTTCTTAGCCTTGGAACACACAGGGATAGAAACACGTCAGTAACCTCTGCATGAAATTTAGCATTTTTCTTAAATAATGGATGTAGGCAACATAGCTATAGTAATCAGTGTGCCTGTGACTGTCGTCAGTGGAAATCACAGATATTTTCACTTCATGTTACAGTTTGCAGTTATCTT